TTATCATCTTCAATGCTGTTGCAGTGATTTTTCGGTGTCTCAATCTTTTTCTGGAATAAATTTGTCATCCTATATTTTCCCTATATAGTTGAAGACGATCCTATATATTTTAGACCTATCCTATATAGGAATTTCTATAGTTTTTGAGAGAGCCGCTGCGATGCCAGATATTCAAGAATAAGCCAAATATTGTATGTACAAGTATGAATGGCTATAAAAAAAATTCTTCGTAATACCCACAGACAGTATGTAAGATTGAACCTAAAGTGAACGACAAAATCAAGAAGTTTCTCCATTTCTTGATATCTTATTATCTATATTTAATACAGGCATTAATTAAAAGCGTAAAAAGAAAGATTTTATTTATATTTATAGCATCTTGTCTTGTATAATAATATTGTCTTAATAAAACAAGAGAGAAGATTATATGGATTAAATCAGAAGCCAACAAGTCTGAATTCATTTGATCGCAATATAGTTTTAGAAATTTTAATGCAAAAGATAATAGTATGCAGTCTAATTTGAGTCATTTTTCGTGATATATTTATTCACAAGCTGAATTTGAAACACTGTTTTGGATAACTGAAGGTGAAATAAAATGTCAATTACTTTGAAATGGTTCTGATTGTTGCAGTTTGATTTTCAAATGTTGAATTTTTCTTTGAAAGACTGGCAAGTGTGTCAGACATCAGTAGTCGTGAGTTAAATAGAAGATCTCTCAAATTCAAGTCAATTTGAACGGTACTTGGTTTGACTTTGTCAAATTTCGCAAGTCATATGTTTCGATAATGAATTCAAATAAAGAAATATTCAGCTTTTTTCGCTTATCATTGCAAAAGTAATAAAATTGTCTCTATGATAATGAAATATATGATCTCAAGAATATAACAACTCTCTTTAAAACAGTAAGCAACTATTTCTTATCAGCAGACAACAAGGCAACTTCGAGCGAGTAGTGACAAACACATGAAAAAAAGTCAGGGTCAAATTAAATAGTAAGTATCAGGTAGAGTAACTCTCGCGTATAATCAAAATAGATTTTTGAAAGATTTTCAACATACTCAAATATAAGAAACTATATCCTTTTCACTCATAATCATCACTCATATTTAAAAATAATAGCTTCGTGTATAATAGGTTGGCGAAAACTTATTGATAGCCAGATTTTGCCGTCTATGAGTAGTTTCGATTAAAAAAACTTCTTGGGCTATTTTCAGAGATTCTTTGTAATCGAACTTATTCGAAACCATATTACTGTGTAACATGGCTGCCAATGAAGAAGATGAAGATGAAGAAGAAGAAGCTATGGCACAACGAATTATACGCCTGACTGATATTGCTAAAGAACCACTAGAATTTCTTTCTCCGATCTGTGGTTACGAAGAAATGCCAATAGTTTCACTCGAAGCAGCAGTTGAGAAACTTGTGAATATTTTACCGACTATTCAAAGTCATGCCTATGTAGCAAAACAAAGATGTAAGAATCCAACTGATGGACTTTCACAAGATGAATCCGCCGCGATTATGTTGTATACAATGGGATGGGAGCCGCTCGATAAATGTCTCTACGTTGTACTGAATGCAACTCTGCGAACAGCAAATCGACAACAATTAAAACCGTGGCTTCTTTATTTAAGACTCTTTGTTAGCGCACTTATTCGCCTTCCACCACTGCGTGAAACTGTATATCGTGGAATAAAATTAGACTTAGGTCCTGAATATAAAAAGGGAGAAACAATCATTTGGTGGGGTTTCTCGTCATGTACCATTGATGTAAGTATTCTACAATCTGAATTATTCCTGGGAGACAAAGGAACTCGAACAATGTTTACGATAATATGTGATTCAGCTAGAGATATTCGTAAACACTCGTACTATCCGATGGAAGATGAAATGCTGCTTCTAGCTGCTACACAGTTTAAAGTTACTGGATGTCTTAATCAAGGTGATCTTCGTATCATTCAACTTAAAGAAACTCAACCACCATTTCCTCTTTTGCAACTCGTGCCATCAACTTCTCAAACAATCAATATATCTTCTTCTGGTAAGTACGAACTGAGAAAATCATTAATAAATGCCATAGAATAAAATTTGCTTCACTGGTCTGAATAGCTTGGAGTGTGATAGATGAACGAAAAATATCTATAAAGTGTTTATCGAATTCAAAGAATCTATTAACAAGATTAATATCGGCAGAAAAGCTTTTATGCTGTATTTCGGTAAAATTCTATGAAAAATAGCAAGAAAATATCATTGTTGCAATAATTTGAGAATAAAGATACTTTTAAGCCGAAGCATTGCTAAATCCATAACAATTAAGTATTATAATCAGTATATCTGTAATTCATAGTAACTATATTGAGCGAAGCTTTGTTCAAACCACCCTGTTAGTTTGTCACTAACTCTACTCCTTTATTCAACTAACTTCCCTTATTCTTCAATACAACTCAACATAGCTCTTTTGACCAATGACGTGAACTATTGAGCAAAGAGAGAAAAGAAGATAGTGGCACACATTCCATTAGAATTTTAAAATACTATAAATCAATTTAGTCGATCATCATATATTTGATTCAGAACGAAAGTATTGAAGGTCTCGAAGACGGATGATTTTATTTGCTCATATAATTCGATATTAAAATACCTGCGTACCAGAGAACAATATTTTCTGATTGAGAGTTGTTGATTCGCTATGTACAAAGTATAAGTATTGCTGACTTTTTATTTCTGTCTTCATGATATTCTTCATAGCTAATTTTTTGAAAATAATTCAAACGAAAGCGGTAAGAAAATACAGAAAAGACTGTAAAAATAACTGCCCATGTAACAAAAACTGCAAAAAAATGACCCAGTATTCGCAACATGGGTGATATCACCGTTTGTTTCAAGTAAGGTGTTACTTTCACACCCTTTCGCTATTCCATGATCGCAGTTTCAGCACTCTTGTATCACCCAGGTCCAACAGTCCGACCTGGAAACGGCCGGTTCCGAGTAGTTTCGTTGATTTTGTGGAAGCAGTATTCTGGTTGGAAATTTTTCGCATTTTTTCCTGTGATTTCTGATCAATTCCTGCCAGAAAGCACCGGAATTTGGCAGGAATTCGCAGGAAAAGTACGGCCGTATTTTTGACCGAAATGCTGCTTCCATGTTCCAACGATTTTCCGTGTTTTCCTGCAGGATATGGTGACACTCCCGCATATTTCCTGGAGCTTTTTACGAGATCCGGTGGCCGGAATGTTCGGCCTGGGCGATAAAATAAATAGTTCTGAACCGAAAGAAGTTTTAGTATTTGACAGGAATTTTATATTAGTTTATGCTCATGTAGTTTGTTTTAGTTTTGAATGCACCAGTAACAATAAAATCAATACCTATCACAAAACAATCAATGTCATCAGTAAAGAAACCCACAGCTGTATTGGGATCATCTGCTCAGGACAAAAATGCTGTATTAAAACAGCTTATTTTGGAACAAAAAGATCATTCAATATTGAATTTAAGTTCTAAAAACTTAGCCGACCCAGATATGAAAATGGTGGCCTTACATATACAAGAAAATTCGAAAGTAAGTCACACGATAGCAGTATCATAGCCAAAGAGTTGAAATTTTTTATTGATTTTATTACCTGAAACAAGATTGTGCAATTGCATCGAGTGATCTGGAAAAGGGTGTGGGTCTGAGTCAAAAGATGAATATCACACCCGTACCCTTCTTTAATTCTAATGTTCTTTATAATTTTAAACAGACACTTGCAAAACTTGACCTTTCTGCCAATCAAGTCGGACCTCGAGGAACACAACATCTATGTGATGCAATACAAAACAGTACAGTAATAAGAATAGTATTTTCATTACTTCAAATGAAACTTATTACTTGTTACAGGCACTTATAAAACTTGATCTCTCCGATAATAAAATTGAAGCTCAAGGAGCGCAATATCTCGCCGCCGTGCTGCAAAATAATGTAGTAAGAGAAATATTTGTCTCATTGTTTCATACGACTAAACTGCTTTTTTTATACAGGCACTTAAACATCTCAATATCTCCCATAATTATATTGGAATTGAAGGAGCACAACATTTAGCTGAAGCACTACAACATAATACAGTAACAACAGTATATATTTTTATTCTATACTAAGCTTTCTTATTTCGTACAGATACTCACGGAACTCAAGCTACATAGAAATAAACTCGGAGTGGAAGGAGCAAAACATCTAGCTAAAGCATTAACCTATAATAAAGTACTAGAGATAGTCTCTTTTTCTCTGATATACTTATAGCTATTGTTTAATACAGACACTTACAGAAATTGGTCTTTCTCTTAATCGTATCGGAGATCAAGGAATGCAATATATAGCTGAAGCATTTTGACATAATACAGTAAGAGAATTATATTTTCCTTCAATATTTTATCAAATACAATATGCATTTGATACAGACTTTGAAAGAACTCTCTCTACATGGAAACAGAATTGGGGATGAAGGAGTACACATTCTGAGTGCTACATTACGAAATAATACAGTAAGATATATTGCCTTTTTTACGTGCTCTTATTCTTGTTTTTTTTACAACTTTCCAAACAGACGCTGTTGGAACTGACTCTTTCGTCCAATAAAATCAGCAATAAAGGAGTACAATATCTTAATGATCTCAAGGTGCGAAATAAAAGGTTAAAAATAGTTTGGTAACAAAATATTTCAATAAGTGTTATTATTTAATTGGACAATATGATTCATTGAATTTACGTTTGATCTAGAAATTGCTCGTATGCGTTAAAAATGCATATTAAGTTTGATTGATGTCGTCGCTTCGTAGCGACTAACATTACCCTTTTTACATTCCAACAAATTTAAATAAAGTTCTAATTTTTATCAAACTTTGCTTTATTCAAATAAAAGTTGATATGAGATTCCATGCAATGAACATCGGAGAAAACCGTTGGTTTATCGCGGATTCATCAGTTTCTATTACCGCAGTTGATCAACAATGTTTGATTTTTTTTCGTTAATATTTGTAGTTAGGTGTGGGTGTGGGTGTGGGTGATTGCATTCTCTTCAGTCACACCCACACCCACCCACACCCACCCTAACCCATGATTTCCACTTTTCAATTTAATTATGAATTTGTTTTATGGGTTTCCGATTTTCCGTGAATTTTAAGTAAAATTATCTTTTGTGATATGAATGGTTTTTTTCTTTGTAGAAAACCAAGTTTATTTATTACGAATTGTTTTAATGTTTGATTGTTTATTTCTTAAGCATAATAAATATACATTTACGATAATCATTTTATTTATGGTGATTCCGATAGAAATTTTAGGAAGCTTATTGTAGATTTGCTCTTAATATAAGAACGAAGTTTTTATATATATTTATTTCACGTTTTGAACTAACAGCAAGAACAAATTACTAAAACAATTCCTAACGATAGAATTGTATACAATCACAGATAACAACTTATCTATCTGTATTTTATATATCTTCCAAATATAAAAATGCGCAAAAGAAATAATATTGCGTAATAGAAAATTATGCAATAAAAATAGTCAGGTCATTGTTCGTCTTGTGGTTGACCTTGACAAAACACACAGCAAAAAGAAGAAGGACAAAAACAATGTCCAAACATATAAAGGGCGTGGGTGTGTGAATGTCATCACGTGATGGATACATACACACCCACACCTAAAAAACGTTTTTTCGCGCAAAAATCGACGATTAAAAAAATTCATTTTCATATAGTATATGTCAAAGTTTTTTGATCGAAAAGTCAGCCTTTTTAGAAATGTAAAGCATGAAAGTCCTATTGATCCTTAACGTACCCACCTCAAAGAACTCAAAAATGCACTTATCTGGTTTTTGATCATTCTGAGGAAAATTTTGAATTTTGACGATCGGGGGTNCCCCCCCCCACCCCCCCCCCCCCCCCCCCCCCCCCCCCCCGCCCCCCCCCCCCCCCCCCCCCCCCCCCCCCCCCCCCCCCCCCCCCCCCCCCCCCCCCCCCCCCCCGCCCGTAACTGACATTTGTATCAAGTCCATCGACAAGGGGAAATTGTATACAAACATTCTTAACTATTCAGATCAGTAGAGGGCCAAGCGAGTCCAAGCGACGAGCATTATTTGTCATTTAAGTTTCACCATCATCTTACTGAGAGTGCTAGTGGAGAGAGCGGATGGCTATTTGAAGCGGTCTTTCGAGAAGTCTCTAATCATTCGGCCAGTCACCATATAGGTGTCCGTGGCACGTGAACTGATCTCTATCAGATTCGCTCGATGTTACATGCCGCATGTACGTGCATGAGTCTAGCACTCACCGCAGCTGCATCTGGGTGTTTCCTGATCGGGCGCGTGTGCATATTAAGAGTAAGAAAAAATTCAGCTTAAGTCAATTCGATTCATTTGCTAAGTAAAAGAAAAAAGTCAATTCACGAGCCTATTCGAGAGAAAATCTTTGAACACGATGATTTCCATAATCGGCAACATAGAGATTGCCCTGTCGATCGAAAGACAAACCAATAGGGTTGCTGAGTTGATTTTCTCCTGGACCTGCACCATTAACGCCAACAATTACAGTGCCTTGTTTCGCCCCTTGAGTCCAAAGAACTATACGATGATTCCCCTCGTCTCCTACATAGAATGTACCCAACATATCGACAAAGAGTCCGCTAGGATGATTCAATTGTGTCAGGGCATTCCCCACACCTTGACCTCCAGCGACGATAATACCTTCTTTTGCATCTTTATTCCATTTTAATACACGATGATTACTCCAGTCTGATACGTAGACATTCTGCTGCCGATCGACAAAGAGATATCTCGGCTCCTTGAGTTGATTGAGATCATTTCCTTGGCCATTACCACCAACCACAAGAGTGCTATCCTTGTCACCCAAATGATATCGTTTTACTTCGTGTTTTACGATGTCAGAGACGTAGAGATATCTCTGATCATCCATAGCCAATCCCCAACAGTCGATGTTGTCCATGAAGATTTCTCGTTGCGTTGTATCACTACGGCGAGACCATCGTAAAACTCTTCGATTCCATCGATCACAAATAATCAGACTATCCGCCTCTTTCTCGATCAATACATCAGTTGGACAATTCAGTTGATCCAATCGATTTCCTTGTCCTTTGCCACCAGCAACGACGTGTCCATTCGTCATATCGCCTGTCTTCCATTGCACGATACGATGATTCAAGTAGTCAGCAATGAGCACTATTCGATCATCATCAATGAAGACACCAAAAGGTTCATTCAGCTGATTTGTGGCATTGCCTTTCCCGTTGCCTCCAGCAACAGTTACACCATTCTTTGACCATGTGGCGTTAGCAAAAATATTGGGGATCACTATAAGAAACGAAACAAAAGCAAAGGAAATCTTAAATTTACGACTATCTTTTGGTAACGAGAAAACATTGATACCTTGAAAAAGGAGTGAGCTATTGATAAAACATTAGATAACGCACTGACATGAATGTTTTAACAAGAATCCAAAATATAAGATTTTACGTTGTATTTGGAAATGTCGGTTTAGAACATCAGAGTGCTGCTGTTATGTTTAATAATGTGCCTATTTTTGAAATATGATAAGAAACAAAAGAGCCTTTTCAAGCCATTTTTGTGAGTAACTACCATTTCTTCTCGTAATGATTAAAAAGAAACTGCATACATCGACGCAGAATATACGAAAACTGGTATGAAAATTTTAAATCAGTAAGATCGGTTTTGTGTCCAAGAAGTCGAGTGCTCAACTTCAATCATGCTGATTGACCGTTAGCCGTTTTCATGACTATATAATTCTAAGATTATGGAGTATAGCAGAGAATGCATTTTTTTTAAATTCAGGTTGAACTATTTTTGCAGAAATCAAATGGTTTTCCATAAAGTTTTACTACAGCTAATAAGGACCGGTGAATAGAATGGTTCTATTGCTGTTCTGAAATTAGGTTCCCTATTTCGTTTGAGAGGATAGTAGTTAAGGAAAAACTACCGTTTCTCGATAGAGTTCGACGGATGGTAATCGATGTTAAGAAAGCGAATAGATGCATCAATTTTTAATACTATTCCTCGTAATTTTGTTTTTCTTAGATGGGCCGATTATTTTGACGGCTACCGTAAAGCTTACACCAGCTCTGAACGTAGTAGATTTGGGAATTATTGTGAGATTTTCTTTATCTGCAGATCGCATGAACGAGAAAGAGCGTATCGCTCATGATTCTGCAAAACCGTAGCTGTAAGTTTCTTCCAGTGTGAAATAACTAACCGGTAATTTTTCCCGAATTTTGAAAGAAGCTTATTTTGCTTTGCTTGGAATTTAGCATTATTTATTTGTAGTTATCTTCGAAATCGGGCAAAATCTATCGTGTGTTTTCGCTGATCTTGGCGAAAAATCGTGATGAGATGTGTTCAATTCTGAGAATATACATAGTGAACCAATTTTTTCGTTTTCTATGTCATTTAAGTCAACAAAATTTTGGTATTTTGAGAACACTCTCAAGCCTTTTGCCTTTGTCTAGTGGAAGGAATTTGTAGATTTTCGTTTTTTGATTTTGGAAAATTCCGTCGATTTTTTTGAATACGTATTTGCTCTAATGCAAGTGATCGCCCATCAATAAAGTAGCGATAGAATTTCTCAGAATTTGATTGTTCTCTGGTATAACTCGAGGATTTCTTAGGATAACTTCCATTTCTCTGATAAGAGCATTTCAAATTATTTACTTAACTTTATAGAACTGGAATAATCGCATGCACTCTATCAGCATCGTTGATAATGAATGGAGACCTCCAAACTAATGTGGTTCATACAGCGTTTGATATCCTGAAACTCTTAGTTGACATCAACAATCAAATGTGTTTGAATTTGCTTCAAAAATTCTGCGGTAACTTAACAGTGCCTCATCGATGTGGATTATAATCGAGTTTTATTACTTTTGTCATAAACATGCTAACACAATGGAGCTAATCTTCACCATGACGAGAATACCTAATATGGAAGTTCAAAGATCTTCATTTCTTCTTACACTTACAAAGAAATCAGCCATCATAGAAAATGCATAATTTCATCAAGTCAAATGTAAGATGCCTAAAGAATAGTATAGTACGAAAAAGAGCTATAGACATCTGATTTCCTGTTAGAATTGAGTTAGACCAAAAAGAATGGAAATAAAGCTTACATAGCTCTGAGGTTGTCGCTGTACTCGTCGTTGTAGTGGCACCTATAGTATTCGTCATTAATGATTATTGAACATCATTTGTGTAAAAAAAATCAAATAGTTTGATTTTCGACATAAAAGATGATTTAGAATTGAGTGCTTCTTAACGCTTGAACCAATGACTAGACTCTGTGAGTTGTTGATACGTGAACACTGTTGCAAGTGCAACTTCACTTTGAACTGACAAGAGGATGAATGTGAACATGAGTAGAGAAAACGAGGGTAGGATGACGAGAGAGAAGTGTCCGTTGTAATGTGGGTGTGAAATTCGCTTGTATTTTCTGGAGTGAATTTGAATATGCAGATATGACGGTATTAAAATATTCTATCATTAGACATCAACAGTATCAGTGTAGAACGAACAGTGTAATACTGCAGAGATCAAATGTTAGCGTTCTTGTTTGAACGACTCGATATATTATAAGAAAAAAGTATCCGCGCAATCCATAGTCCAAACTAATTAGACTAATCTGTCACAATACATCTTGCATGTAACAGTTCCATTAATACTCGTTAGTGCCCTATCGGTAACTTTATATTTCAAACAGTGGTTTGAGTTAGAATATTATTAAATCAGAACTAAATTACCAGCTTTGAAGTTTTTGAGCTAGTAGCCAATCAATGGCTTGGAACAAAGGCTGTCAAATGAAGAGAAACATTTTATCGATTTTGTTCATCTTTTCTGCATAGTTACAATACGAAGATGATTTGTATATGTGCTCTTACTTATCAGTGGGCAGTATTCTGGATTGAAGCTCGGTACAGGATAGCAAATAGGAAAGTCATGGCATCGAAAATGATAAACACACAGATGCTCGGGTTCCTGACAAGTATTGTTTGGCCTTTTGCATTGAACTAGTTCAGAACAAGACAGTAAGAATTGGTCGATACAAATACTAGCGTTAGAAGAAGATGCTATACGAAGACAGGCGCATACAGAATGCTTCGAACATACGGCATATTCAACCGTGCCATCACATCGTTGAGATTGAAGTCGAACTATCAGTACAATAAATTAAGAGCAAGACATAGGCAATGAAATACGAATCAAACCTGTGAGGCTAAAACGAAATATTGTTCAATATAATTAACTTGAATAGAAAACTAATCAATTTTTAAGTTTACCTGAATATGACGAATATGCAATAATGAATACCCGTTAATCCCATCATACTTTTTGTTGAAATGGGACTGAATAATTTCTCTAGCTTTCCTTGTGTAGATGAAGTGAATACTCACGCAGAAAAGAAGACATTAAAACGATGTTTCAACGCACAGTAACTCATTCACATTATGCAGGGGCAACTAGTTGAAACTGTTGACTTTCTACTCAAACACGCATGTGTTTGATGAAAATTTATGACTTCAAGCGTTTTAATACATTTTGTGTATGAGAATTAGAATTGATAAACAGCATTTTTGCAAACACATTTGACTCTTTTTTCCTATAACAACGTGTTTTAATGATTAAATCTGATATCGATTACGTGTTAAAAACTTTTGTAACAGGAAGATGAGATATTTTGACGTGCTAAATGGTCGATTAGAAAACTGAAAGAAAAACAGAAATATGTTCCATATCTAACAGCAAAGTTTTAGATCCAACATTTATCATGATGATAATTGTTTCCCATTGATGAATCATATGATGTTCAGTATGGTACATATATGTAGCAATTAATTCGATCGCTTATCGTCTTAGTATCTATCGGTGAGTAGAAAACGACAGAGCACAATATGAAAAAGATTATATTAGTGTCCATTACATGTATAATTGTTATACTAAGAATTCTACTGCCTGATGTTGTCTCGTCTGATCATATAAAATACAAGCATTGTGAATTGAACGATGACTGCTGATAGAATCAGCTGAGTAACGTTGATTATCGACCAAAATTCGACAACAAAATCTAATAGATCCGTTCAACATGAAGTAGTAGAATAAGTCCAATAAACAGACAGGTATGAAATAGCACATGTGTCAAAAAATTGATGATCACAAAGCTGCATCTCAGTATAAAATGCATAAATGTAAATTTTGGAACTTTTTTTACACAAGATCTATAATTCAGTGAAATAGTAAAAAACCAAAAAGTTACGTTCCATGTCTGCAGAATAGTTTCAACCAATGTCAGAGAGAGCTACTCGAACGAATATGAATGGAAATTATAGCCTAAAAAAATTTATTTCCGGAGAACATCCAGAGTTATATACATACATAAAAATGAACACTGCTTCAAACTAGTAGATAAGTTAAATCATAAAAACAAAGTTGTCCCCGACCAACCCTCATGACAATGTTCTATCTTCTCATGAAACATCTCTTCGCGATAATATTAATAATAATAATAATAAAAAACAAGATACTAACACATACACTCACCCATACCCTCAAGATATCAAAAATAGAAATATGAAATATTTCTTATCAATATTATTCTATACCAACAGCTTCACAAACTTTTATTGAGCTATGTCTTATCTGTAGGTTTCTTTCTAATTATTGAACATAAGATTTTTGACTGAACAGATCATTTAAATTTCTTCGTTGAATTATTTTCATGCGTTGAGCTTCTTGAGGGTGTGGGTGTGGGAACATCAACACCCACACCCTCAAGATATGCCAAAATAGAATGCGACCTGAAATTCGTTTTTTCTCGGAAAAAATACGATAATAAATGCGAAATTTATATCAATAAGTTTTATTTAGAGAAGCAAAGTCTATAATGATTTTTAAATAGTAACAATCGTCTACCATTGAGGTCACATGGTTTCTATTGCACGATGAAATCACCAACGAGTAACAGCTGAAATGAATCATGAATGATGCAACGACACAACAACAGTTTGTACTGAAGTAACAATTTGATTTTGCGTTGTTTTTTTTCTTATTCTTTGAGAAAAAAATGAATGATGTTGAGGTATTGTGCTCTGCTTGAAATGAATCAACGTACAACATCATAAGCGTGATTCAATCGAATCGAAATATATAAAAGAAATAACTTCTATAATGAAGCATATTATTATTATTTATTAGATTTTTTCGATCAAACCAAATACAATGCCTCCTAAAAAAGCAACTGCTTCTAAATGTGAATCTTCACTACCAAAAACAGTGCCTAGAAATGCTGCCAAGCCACCACAAAAAGTCAATGTGGCGAAACCTACACAGGAGACGGCAGCGGCCGCAGTGGTTGATAAGCCAGAACCTCCGATTGTCAAGCAGGTCAAGATGAAGCAAGTTATTCCAAAAGAGATGGAAAAATTAGAGAACTTGAAAAAATGGCCAATTATTATGGATGAAGTCGGTGAGTTAAGGATCTATGTTATAACTTAGAAAAATGCACACGAATTCTTCATCGCAATTCAGTGTTTTCACTTTCACCAAGAGACTTTGCACAAGAAAAAAACGGCAAAAGCTTAGAAAGCATGTCTGTGAACGAGTAATGCTCTCCTGACAAAACCTAGGATTGTTTTCTTTGTATTCAAGCGCTCAAAATGTGAAGAACAAATTATTATTTTTTTTACTTTAGGAAATTTGAAAACATTCTATCGTCTTAATGAAACTGTGATCGATTTTACGACGCCTCTCACTGTGCAACGCGTAAAAGTTGCCCTTCAACATGTCTTCTTTGGACTTTCGTTCAACCCAGATGGGTCGATTAATGATCATCGTGAATATAGCATTCCGAATAATGTCAATCGATTAGTAGCGATCATCATGGAAGAAAACTCAATAGAGAAATGTGTCGAAGAATTGCGAAAAGTATGCGATCAACTACATCCAGAACTGTTCGATGCAGTTTTTGTGAAAGCCGATGTCAAAGAATCGGGAAGAGATAATTTGGATCGCCTCTTTGTCATGACGAAAACGCCCGATGAGATACGTAATGCGGACTACTATCAATTTGGGGCTAAGTGTCGAACTGAAGTACCTTTTATTTGTGTGTGGATCACTCAGCAAGCTGAAATACCACCAGCCTATGATAATCTTTTTGGGTTGAGATTCAAATTGAATTACGATTGATATACTGTACATGAAAATGATATCAGTCGTTAAAGAAACATCCATAGAAATGGCTTTTTTTCACCTTGAAATTGAAACTTTTATTTGAAATAAAATTCATTTAAAAAAGGCATCTAGCACGAAATTCATGGTGAAACTAATATATTTTATCAACGTGCTTGCTGGTGATTTCTTCTTAAATAAATTTTTTTGATCATAAGCAATCACATCGAACTCACACCATTTTTAATAAAGACTATTGTTAAACTCAAACATCGAGTAAACCGTTGAATTCACTCACTATGCTTTTGTCATATAGTTATTGATTAAATCCTCAATATATCGCAAAAGAAGCAGAAAACGTTCAAATAAAATCAGCAACAGACCAAATATCCTCAATATGAGAAACACTAGAATGAGTCACATACAGATTCATCTTACTGTCGAATGAGAAAATTGATGCACACCGCCATTATCACCGAGAAAACACATTATCCAATGGTCCAGTAGATCAGCAAATAAATTATGTAAAAGTTTATGCTTGTCTGTTACTATAATGCTTCTCTCTGACAAATAATCTTTATGATGCTATTGTTAATCATTCTGATCAAAATGTAAGTAAATAATAGCTTGAAAACTCTTACGAAGTCAGCATGTGTATTTTCTCTCTTTTCGATTCTTTGAGTTGATGCCCTCCGTTGTTATAAACATAACCTTTTCGAGGACAAAAATCGACATAATAAGTTTTCAAAAGCTACATGTTGTAAAAGTTGCGCACATTTTGATTCACAGTGCTGATTCGTACAATATTCTATTTCGATCGGTAGAGGGGAAAGGAAACATTTCTTGAAAGTTTGTTTTTTCACGATATCGTTGTTGATCCGAAATTTTTACTAATTTTTATCATTAATGATGACGAATGAGTAATAGAAAATGACGCACTCTTCCGTTGTTTTTTTACTGCTTGGTTTTCTCTTTTATTTTCTTTGGTTCGCATTTTAGCCATTTGTCAATTTTGAAACACAAATAATAAAAAGCAACAGTATGATGTGCACGTTGGCACATTTTTATCGACAACAACATTAACTAAACTTATGCTCAAAAACCATCGTTTATCTTCTCTTAGCTACGTATGACAGAAATTTTACGTTCTAACAAAACAACATGCTTTCCTAACTCACTATACTAACGCATTGCTTGCTATTAGGATATCTTAAGAGTAGTGCTGATCGAATCAAACGATAAGTATTGATAAAGACCTGTTGCTTCTAAAAATAATTTTGAAAAAATAAGAAATTGTATAACCTCAAACAATGTGAAATTCTCGGTAGAATAAATCAGTTTTTCTGTTAGAAATGAACTTCTATATTCTTGAGGGTTGACGGGGGTTTAGAAAAGAAACAACAAAACCCCACTCACACTCTCAAAATAGGCTTCCTACTGACAATATAGAGAAATAGTCCAATAGAAATACTGACACTATATAGTTATTCCGTTTAGAATAAATTCAATTGATATCTGAAAACCAAACATTCTTTAATAATTGTTATTATTGCGTGACCGCATAATGAAACAATAAGCTACAAATCATGGCCGATTCGTCAGTTATACATACAAACCCTTCTGTAAGGCAAGCGAATTTTCCTTTAAGCGACAATTTTACCTTAACAAATGATGAAAATCTTGAAGAATTATCCATGATATGGCTTGATTCAAATATTCACAAAAATGAAGATTGTCTAGAAATGCTTACTACATTACGTTCTGTCATTAATTACTTGAAAGTATTTGATAATATTAGCGAATGTGTTGCCTATATTAACTCTATTACAACAGAAACAAAAATATTGTTTATTGTTTCTGGTGAATTAGGTGAAAGTATTATTTCTGAAATTTACCACTCGCCGAGCATTGTTTCCATTTATGTATTTTGTTATGATAAAATAAAACATGAAATTTGGTCCAGTCAATATAAACCAAAACTGCAAGGTGTCTTTATCGACAAAGATACACTTTATTCAAAATTAGTATCTGATATGAAATTACAAATAAGCAATTTTTTACCTATAAGTATTTTGAGTGAAAACGCAGAGCAAAGATGTATTCGAGATTTAAATAAGGAAAGTGTCTCGTTCATGTGGTTTCAATTGTTGATACAAACTTTAATCAATATGGAACATGTTGACAATGCGAAAAATGAAATGATCAATTCATGTCGAAAACAATATCAAGGTAATGCATCAGTTATGAAACAAATCGAAGAATTTTCAATGAACTACGATGAAAACAAAGCTGCTGAATGGTACTCGAAAGATATATTTCTTTTTCGTTTATTGAATAGAGCTCTTCGTACGGAAAATATTGATCTTATTTATAAATTTCGATTTTTTATTGCTGATCTTCATCGTCAATTGGATAAAATACATCGTGAATATAATGAATTAGTATTGGCAGATAAAAAAAGTTCAACTGTATATCGTGGAGCACAAATGACTATTAAGGAATTGAAAGCCTTGGAAGATAATATACATGGATTGGTTTCCGTAAATACATTCTTTTCGACCAGTAAATCATCGCAAGTTGCTACAAAATTTGCTTCGGATGGTTCTCAAGATAATCCAACAGTCATTTTTACAATAACAATTGATAATCATATTCAAGATCAACCATTTGGCACTATTGAAAATACAAGTAATTTTTCTCATGAAGAAGAAATATTATTTTCAATAGGCACAATATTTCGAATAGAAAATGTCGAACAAATGAATGATGCTGTATGGTCTGTCGAACTGAAATTATATGAGAAAGCAAATTTAGAATTAAAACCACTTATGACAAGTTTAGAAGAAGAAATAAGTGGAAAGCCAACACTTCTGAGTCTCGGTAAAATGTTGTTCTACATGGGAGAACATGATAAAGCCGAAAAATACAATCGAATTTTACTTGAACAATTACCACCCAATGATGAGTCTATAGCAATAGCCTACAGTAATATTGGTGATACTTATTTAGATAAAGGTAATTATACACAAGCATGGGAATATTACGAAAAAGCTCTATCAATAGTGTCAAATACCGAACCGAGTCATCATCATATCCATCTTGCTTACATATACGATTCAATTGGATTACTGAACGATCGAATAGGAAAATATGATGAAGCTTTAGAAAATCTTAAAAAAGTACAGTATACGAAACTTAAATATGTATCACCTGATGATCTTTTTATGGTGTCAACATACAATAACATTGCAATGGTATACAAACATAAAACTGACTATGACAGTTCTTTAGATTATTATAAGAAAGTTCTTGAAATTGAACTTAAATCATTACCAGATTTACATCCAAATCTCGCGTCGACTTACAATAATATCGCATTATTAAAAAACCAATTAGGTCAATATGACGACGCATTGAATAATTATACTACAGCATTAATGATCGAACAAAAGTCACTACCATCGAACCACTATAAAATTGGTACAACATACAACAATATAGCTTTACTTTATGCGAACATAAATAATCAGATCGAAGCTTTGAATTACTATGAAAAAGCATTAAACGTATTTTTTCATGCATTCGAACATGATCATCCAAGCATAGGATCGATTTATTATAACATTGGAACAGTTCATTATAAACTTGAAGATAATGATAAAGCTATGCATTATCTGCAACAATCACTTCAAATACGATTAAAATCACTTCCAAATGATCATATTGATATCGCAGCCACATTCAGTGTTATAGGAGTTGTTCAGTGTGTTCAGGAAAACTATATCGATGCTCTTGAAAACTGTGAACGAGCATTTGCAATACAAATAAAATCGCTTCACAGCAATCATCCTGATTTAGCTTCAACCTATTTTAATCTTGGTAGAATTCATTCGAAATTAAATCAAGAACAAAAAGCATTAGAAAATTTTCAAGCATCTTTAAGAATAATGTCGATTATATTCAAAGAAGATGATAAAAATCTTGAATTGTTATATTTTCATATTGGTCAGAGTTCTTTTAACATTGAAAATTATCAAAATGCTATTGATAATTATGAGAAATCTGTTCAAATTCAATTAAAAACAATGAATACAACAAACAATAGGCTAGCAATAACATACAAATATTTAGGCTTAGCTTTAAATAAACTCGGTAATTTTGCTGCGTCAACAAAAAAATTAAAGAAAGCGCTAGAAATCCAATCACCACTACAAAATCAGTCTGAAATGGTAACCATTCTTTCTCAGATCGGGCAAAATTATTTCAAAGAACGTAATTATGGAGAGGCATTGAAAACTTATGAAAAAGCAATCGAAATACAATCTAATCTACCAGCGCCAAATGATATGAACTTGACAGCACTGTACAAAAATATGGCCCTTACATATCTGACTGATAACAAATATCAGCAAGCAATAGAGTACTTCAAAAGAGTAATTGAAATGCAAACGAAATATTTAGCATACAATCATCCTGATGTAGTTCAAACATATAAACAACTTGGTAGTATTTATCGTCAACTTAATCAATGCGATATTGCATTGAGCATCTTCACAAAATTACTTGACATTCAAACAAAAATGTCGCCAATAAACGATATAGAATGTACAGGAACATTAAATAATATTGGATTTATATTTTGCCAACAGGGTCAGTTACAAACTGCATTGGATACTTATGAAAAAGCATTAGAAATTCAGTTGTCGTGTACCTGTTTACCACCTGTAGAACTTGCAACTACATATAATAATATTGCAGGTGTTTATCTAAGGCAAAATAGACATGAATTAGCATTCGAAAATGCTAATAAAGTTCTTAAGCATTGTCCAGAAGCTCATCAACTACTGGCAGCAACCTATGATATTTTTGCTGAATTGTATTCTGCACAGAATAAATACGACGAAGTAATTGATGCCTATTCAAAGAAAATTGAAATCATGAAAAGAAGTGAATCGAAAAATAATCAAGAATTGTCAAAAACTTATAATAATTTAGGAATGATTTACATTAAATTAGGTAGTGGCGATATAGCCTTAGCATATTTCCAAAAGACGCTCAATATTGAAGAACAGTTCTTACCATCTAATCATGCTAGTTTTGCCATAACATATAACAATATTGCATGCGCCTATTCTATGAAAGATGATTTTCGTGAAGCAGTGAAATATTATCATAAGGAACTCGAAATTCGTTTATTATCATTGGAATCGAATTATTTAGATGTTATAATGACCTATCAAAATCTTAGCATTATGTATTGCAGAGCAGGTAAAAATGCTAATGCATTCGAGATGAATGAAATTGCACGCAAAATTACTCTCGAATATGTTTCACCTAGTGGCATTCAGCTTGTATCATTATATAATGATTTGGGAGAATTGTATTTCGTCAATCATGATTATGACAATGCATTAAATAGCTTTGAAAAAGCATTGGAAATAGGTTTGAAAACATTGCCAATTGATGATAACGAACTGACACCGGTTTATGAAAATCTTGATCAGCTTTATTCAAATGATCAAAATCAAATTTCAACTGTGAGCCTATTAGAAAAAAAGCCTTACACCTCATTGACATATAATACAATTGGAACTATATTCAATAAAATGAACAATTACGAACAAGCATTAATCAATTATGACAATGCATATCATACCGAATTGAAAATGTCTTCACCAAATCTTGAATACATCGAATTGTACAAAAAAAATATTAGTCGCACTAAAAATAAATTATCGTACTTTACTAAAGAAAAATTTATGCTAATATTATCTACAATTTATGAATACTTATTCAATCAAGGTTAAAATGAAGAATTTATTTCATTGTTTGGATTAATAAAAGAATGCAATTGTTTATTCAAGAAAATATGGGAGACGGTATAACGCTGACATGGTAAATTATATCCATAACCTGAACAAATCGATTTTTACAACAGTTTAAATGCGTTCAGTATGATTTGAGAGATCCTACAGTTAATGGGAGTTACAAATATAACTCTAGATCGAATAGTGTACATCAG